GGGCCGAGGCAGCGCGAGGCCTGCGCGGGCTTTTGCCCGTGCGCTGACAAGGCAGCTAGATACAAACGAAGCCGCCGCGGTGTCCAGCCCGGCGCCAGGGCGAGTGTTAAAATAAGACCTAGAAACGTGAGGGACAGAAACGACCCAAAGCGATTATTGTGCACTATTCCGCTTTTATTAGGGTAAACCGCCTTAGAGAAACAGTGCAAAGGCGCGGTGGGGCAGGAGAACGGTGGTGGGCCGCCGCCTGAGCTTGCTGCAGCGTTAGTAGAGCGAGGATGCGAGAGCAGGCAGCCTTGGGAGATCAGCTCCGGTCCTGAAATCATGACTTTCCTTCAGAGTCGATTGGTCTGGGCGGGGGGAGAAGCCCACCCTACCTGTCCCTTTAGGAGTAGCTTCCTTGTACTGGCTTACACAAGACCGCTTGTGACAAGAGCTGTCGTTTTTATAGCCATTGTTCACTTGCACGTACCAGTCATAGAAACACCCTTGGGTTATGTATTCCTGCCTATTTCCAGGCAAAATTAATAACAGTCTTTTGATTGTTTAGTGATAGGAGCCTAACTTCTGTGCACGGGCGTAGGAATGCTTCTGTGTATGTTGCTCATCCCAGGAGTGCGCAAATAAGGAAACGTTTTTCATCAGATAGCGGGAGTACACACAAAAGTCCCTCTAAAACAGCATTTGTACTGTGCACTATTCAAACTTTGTTAGATCCTTACAGCAGTTTAACTAATGGAAGCAGAAGCAGCAATAACTTCAATTCTATGGTAAAGTGCCTTTTTCACTACAGAATTTCAGTCTCAAAGAAGGCGACCAAAGCTTCGTGTAATCTGCAGCCAGTTTCTTTCGCATGGAGAACGAGTCAAATACTGGACTAGTGAAACCAAAGGTCTCCTGCCTAGACAAAAACAAAAAGACACACTGGTGCTAAAACTAACTTGGACTCTCCTGGTTTTGCACTAACGCCTAGAGATTATATCGTAATTTATATTTAGAGAGGGAGGAGAGAGTGCTTTCTGTTCCAGCTACAGAGAATGCACACATCGAGGGCAGTGTCTGGAACATTGTGTGGATTCACTTATCTAGATTTCAGGTGAAGCGTATGGAATTCAAGATACGTTCTGAAAGGTGTCAGGAAAAATAAAGCACGCTCATATTTAAAACCCGCTCTCTTATTTATACAACAAAACATCTCACCAGAAGACTGGGGGAAAAGAGTTTGGGAAAAGAGTTTTCTACTCGAATGACTATATTAGAACAACTCAGATAGGCAACTATAACTGATATTTTATGTTGAAGAGTATAAATCCATACCTGCTATGGAACACACGAACATTTTTGTTCAGTTATATGGTCCACAGGGGTACCGGTACCCATAGTTTTCATAAGTATGATAATAGCTAAGTGGTAGAGATGAAAATAAAAATAGTGAACTATATTAGTTTGTAAAAGAGCAGTCATACCTATTTCCTTTTAAGAAGATAGTCTTGGAAGTAAAACGACATAACTGCACAATCGATTCCAGGTTATTGAGCCTTATGCAGTTTGCACATTTGAGCTAAAGATAAAAAATTATAAGATCCAGGCACGTTCTGAAAAATAATTCATTTAAGTGTTTTGCCTGTATAAAACTTGGGACTTGACAGCAGAGTAAATGAATGAATGTTCAGAGGGTTGCCTTACCCTTCCTTCTGCTTTGAAATAATTTTCCAGACAATGCCCGCACCCAGGAGAATCAGGACTACTGCAGCTGTAACTCCTGAGAGAGAAGAACACATACTGTTTGTTTTAAAGCATATCAGCTCAACTGAAATAGCCAGCTCTTCTCTTCTAGTAAGTAGAAGGAAATAGCATGACTGCGGCCACTGAATAAAGCTAAAGATCTGGCCACAAAAATGTCTCTAAGCTACTTACCGAGGCCTACTGACCTAGACTTGTGTGAAGCTAAAGGGAAGAGAAAAACAAAATCAGTGGACCATTTTAATATAAAACATGATATTTCTCAACTGTAGTTAACCACTGTATTACTCTTAATCAGCTTTTACTGCCAAAGCCTAGAATACAGGATTTCCTAGAACTCTTATCATCATATACTTTTTCCATGCAGAAAGGCATTTGCATGTTGAAAAGGGAGATCAACAGCAATGAAATCTAAAACTGTGCTGAATAACTGAGGAAAACAGTCTTGAAACTGCCCTGGTAAAATCAGCAGCTTATTGTTTTCTACTTCCCTAGTAAAAAAATCAAATTTAAACAGATTTAAGAGGTCCTGGGAGCAGGCTGCACAGTTGACTTAAGATGCAAGAATGAAACTGTAGTTAGAAACTATCCTTTTAATGTTTTGAGGGACCTAAATTTCATGAAAAGTGTTTCTATTCCCACCTGTAGGATTCATTAACATACTGAAAAGAATAAACTCATTTAAACATAAACCAGGTAATATAATAGTTTAGCAAAGCAGATGTAAGCTAATTTATCATCCTTATTAGCCTAAATAGGTTCTGGTAAGTCTTCTCTAGAAGGAAAATACATATTTCTCCCTTATAATAATATATATTAGTTGAACTGCATCAAATTATTATAGTGAAGACACATCCATGCTGGATGTAAGCAACAGAAATGTGAATTTGTGCCTTCTGTCTGTAGCTAATCATTGCAAGCTTTTAAGGAAAGTACAGAAGCTGAATACATGCACTTGTCTGACCTTTACTTCATTTACATTTGCATTTCGCTTACCTAGTCTACATGCTGGCACAGGAGGGTCCCAGCTGAAGTCCTCTTGACACTGAATCTGACTGATGCCTTCCAACATGTAACCATCATCACATTCAAGAGTAATGTTAGTCCCTGGTCGATATGTATTTCCCCTCATGGTTTTCTTAACACCTAGAACTTCTGGGAATACACATCTGATCTCTGAAATTAAAAATAACAAAAAAAGGATGTTTAATGGGAGGGAATATAAAATACAAGACATACAGTTGCAGGTCTTTTAAGGCATTGTTCTTGAGTTGATTCTGAAAGTAACCAGAAAATAATTCTTATTCCAAAGTGTAGTTTGTTTCTTTGGGCTGTAGAAGTGGGTATGTAATCAACAACTACTGACCACTGCAGTCTGTGTGCCTATGTTCTTACAAGAGTCGTGGACCTTGATTTCAGCTGTGAGGAGAATTCATTCACTAATTTATCCGATGTTTTTGATCCACTACCTCCTGTGTCGAGACCCTAAGCACAAAATGGAAGTGGCTGCTGGCTCTGGAAGGCTGTTGATTGCCATTTTATCTTCAACTGTTTTCAGCAAAGGACACCTGCAAGTAGCCTAAAGGGTAAAATATAAGACTGATACTAACTAAGCTTGTGATGAAGTATAGTAGGATAAGAGGAAAACATACTATAGATCTCTTGATGACTATGAGAAGTCTTGAAACAGTTTTTAAACACTGAACATTTCAAAGCCTCAATGAATGAAATTTTCAGCTTAGTTCTTGCATTATTGCCAGACTATGAAAGGAAACAAAAAGATCAAATGCACTTGGGCACCTTTGCAATGGGGAAGAGGTGGCTCCCTCATTCCAGAAGTTGTACAATAAGTTGTTTGTGCCCAGTATGTACCCCTCATCACAGTGCTGAGTCACAGGTGACCCATAAGAAAAGTCATTGCGTCCCTGCAAGCTGCGCTTTCCATTACTAATAGCTGGACATAAGGGCTGAAGGAAAAGACGGAGAAAAGAGATGGAAGCAGAAAGCTGAAACAGAACGTAAAATACAGCAGAGACATCCCTTGTCAAGTCAGCCACTGCGCAAAAACACCATACCTCTTTAGGTCCAGATATAGATATTCAGGTCCAGATGAAAACATTATTGAGAGCTTATCCACTACATGTGAGCATACGTGGCTACTACACTTCAATACCCCACCTGGAAAATCTACGTGCAGTGACGGTGCCTTGGGAGAAGCTGCCAGAGAGGCACATTTTGCTGATACTGTGCTACCAAAACATTTAGAGAAGAATGGTGTAGCAGTGAAGAAATCTCTGAGCTTTAGATCAACTCCCTATAACCCACTTCTAGTCTGTGAAATTCCTTTGCCCTTCAGGTATTTTAGTAGGCATACTCACTTACAAAGTCTAGGTCTTTATTACTCAGTCTAGCCATCTAAGCTATTCATCCCACTGATTTCAATGAAAGTGAGTTAGTTATTTCCATTTAAGCGTCTAACCACATTTGACAATCCAAGCCCAAGAATTCTGGAGAATATTCTCAGTGGAAACCGAAGGGGTAACATAAGCATGCAATTTTTAAGTGGCTTTGTTTTACACCTTATTTACATTCTTTTTTTTTTTTTTTTTTAAATCATCACATCTAGTAGTTACTAGCGACACTTCAAAACTATGAGAATGTGGAATGACAGGGAGAATTTTTCTGCCAGACTGCTTTGTTTAAAGAGCCTCTGACTTCAGTTACGTAAGCATTTAATACGTTATTTCCTCTTATTGTTACCCAAGTGTGTTTCAATTCCCGAGTCACTGAGGTGGGTGCAGCTCTGCAAAGGAAGTGACCTATGTTGGCAATGAATTCATTCCAGTGAATGTCCAGTCTTCAGTGCAGGAACACCCATACTAGGAATCTTGTCACATTCATGAAATTGCCTGTAGTCGAGTTTCCTTGATGACTGACCTTCACAGTGAGCTACACGGAAGTGCCAAGTCAGAGAGAGAGTATTTTCCAATAAGGCAATAGTCAGGCTCACGTGTAATTTACAGGTAGTCCACTAAAAACAGTTCTCAGATGTCATCACTTTCTTTGTTTCTTTTGTTAGTCATACTGGGGAGTGAGAGACACGAAGGAAGGGAAGGGAAAAAGTTTCTACTGGTAAAGAAAAAGCTCTTAAAACGTTGACTTGCATGGAGGAAACTTATTCATAGCAACAAGAGCAGAGATGCAAAACAGGCAAGAATTAAAACTGCCTTCCAGAGCTGCCTCCCACTGTACTGATATTCTTCCGACTCTTAGGATGAGGTTCCCAGCCTCCTCCTTTACAATATCGTACTCTTCACAGGAACATCAGAAAGTGGATAAATTCATAATTAACAGATTAACATTATCTAGCTATGATTTGGAAGTGGTTCTCTAGCAAATAAGTGGCTGGAATTCAGTGTTAGTAGGTGCAGATGTTTTAACTGCATGGATTTTCGCCCATGTATCTCTTTGGAAACATCATTTCCTGAAGTAAAATGTATAGCTATGGCTACATGTCCCCTCAGCCAAGTTCTGTGAGATGTGTGCTACCACAAGTTCCACACAGCATGAGGAAATAGAGCATGAGCAGACCTTCGCACTGAGGAAGAGGCTGGCCCCAAGTTCCAGACACCGTGCAGTTAATGAAAGCGTTCCCAGTGAGTGAATAACCAGGATTACAGCTGTAGGACACAGATGCTCCAAAGGGAAAAGTGTCAGAAATATGGCCTACGAGCTTCCCATTGGTGATGTTCGGAGGATGGAGGCACTTCACAACTGAAAAGTCGGGGGAGACAAACAAGACAGCGTTGAAATTAAAATCTCGATGGATTGCCAGAGAATAGCAACAACACTGTGTTTGCAGCCTTGTTTGCTCACGTGTAATATCTTCATCTAGCCTTAAAAACTGGTCTTGTAACCTATAACTCCATCATTTTGGAAAAGTGTATAAATTTAGTCTTGTTCTTAAAACATATTCTGGAGTAAAGGATACAGATTTAGTCTTTACACAAATTTCTTCCTAAGGCAAGTCATATGTTAAGTGTCCTTTCCTCTTGGCTCTCTTCAACAAAAACAAACACACCTTGACAGACTGGAGAGGGATGGCTCCAGGCTCCAGCCTCTGTGCAATAAATGGATGCTGTCCCAATGAGAGAGAAGCCAGACTCACAGCTGTAGTTTACAGACATTCCAGGAGCAAAAACTGCTACTGCCAGGCCACTGTGCCACCCATTGGCGATCTCCAGAGGCTTGGAGCAATGCAGCGCTAACGAGAGAGAAGTGCCAATTAAAACAGAGCTCATACAGTCAGGAGGAAAACTTTCAGCAAGCATGCTTGCCTGTAAGCTCGCTCGCTCCCACAGCAGTGACGCCAAAGTACAGAGCCAGCCCTGCCCAACCTTGTGCACTAATTTCACCCCAAACAGCTGTAAAGCATGTGGCATCAGTCAGATTTCTTCTTACACGATGAAACATTGCCCAGCACCATCTTTCCTGACGTATCAGATGAGAAGAGTAGATAGTTCATATTTATAATGTGATTTCCACACTTGTGAGACCATCTTATTACCCCACCCATACAAGTTCCTTGCAGTTGGCGAAGCTGGCCTAAGCTCATTTTTAAAGACTTCATTCTGAGAAACTGAGACACCAGATACTGCAGAGGTAAGAATGGGAAAAATTAAGCTAGGCAGATAACTGCCTTCTCTCTCTCTCTCTCTGTTCAGATCTAAACACTAGGCTCAGGATCTCTCTCATCTCCTTTACATTCTGCCACACACTATGAAGAGTGATAAGGCCAAAAAGGATAGTCATCTGAGGATAATGCATGCTTACCTCTTTCACAGATGGGGAGTGGTGGATCCCAGGTACCTCCAGCCTGGCACTGGGACTCGTGGAGGCCTTTAGGGACATTGTCACTGTTGCATTCAATCCTAACGATGTCTCCAGGTCTATAGAAAGACTCCAGTCTGATTGCTTTTCCATTCCCAACTCCTGGGCTCGCACAGCCAACTGTGGACAGTGAGAATATAAAGAACCCGTTAAATCGTGAACTTTGTGCAGCATAGAGGAGGAGAGTGTTTGGCCACAGTCTTCTCTCTTTCTGCAGTGATGGAGTTTGTTAAAGCAACAGCTCTTCTCAGAAAGTCCTTAGCCAAATATCACTGCATGCTTAACACACTTAAAAAGTCAAGAAGAATTAGTGAAAAGAACATGAACACACCTTCACACCGAGGAAGGGGACGGCTCCAGACTCCGTATGTTGTACAGCGGATAGACTCATTCCCGATAAGGAAGAAGCCAGGCTTGCAGCTGTAGTGCACAAGTGCTCCTATGTCAAAAGTGTCTGAGGAATGCCTGCTGTGTTCCCCATTAGTAATGCTTGGGGGAGGCAGACACTTCACCTCTGAAAAAGGAGAGGAAGAAGATGAGAAGGTGATGCTAACTTCTGAGAAGAGCAATAACAAAAGAGTAAAACAGTGCAATCACCCTTCTTCCCTCCAAAAGGCAAGGCAGAAGGGAGGAGGACAAGTTTGACAAGTCTTGCCTGGTCTTATGATAGACCTACCTGGCTTTGTTGTGGTATCAGTAGGACGATGATAGAATTTTGCCATTCCACCTAGATATAGCATTAAGAGTTTAAAATACACATGTTGTTGAACAATGCAATATACAATTTTACCTTCATTTTCTATCATCCTCCCTTTATATTTCAGAATAAATTTCACTCCTCTGTGATAGTCAATTCCTGCCATGAACCTATCAAGTTGCTTACTTTCAGACAGTGCAGAGAACATGGATTATGGACTGCAACAAACAGGGTGAGCAAAGAGCAAATTACATTTATACTTACGGCATTGCCCTCAATCCGGCTTATCTCCTGTGTGAGAAGAGAGTCATAAATGAAAGGAACAATTTCTTGTTTTTCCTTAAGTCAGTAAAGTACCTTGATTTGAGAAGAGGAGCAAGCAGGACAGATATAGCCAAATTCAGCTTCATTGAGTTCCTGGGAGCAGACAGGAAGGAAACAGAAACATCAACAGGTCAGCAGGCTAACACTTACCCTGTTCACAAACTGGCACAGGTGGGTCCCATGTTTTATCAGCTCTGCATTGAACTGTATGATGGCCTTGCAGGGTGAAGCCTTCATGGCACCTAAAGCTAACAGTATCTTCATATGTGTAGCGACTTTTACGAATGGATATTCTCCCGTTCTGGATCTCTGGGACTGGGCATACCACCTCTGAAAAAGAAATTCATTATCTCGGAAGGAGAGCCATATGTATGCTAAAGATGATGCACATATAAAATCCATCCTGAACCTGCCACTGCTCCCGAGGGAGGTTCTCAGAGGTGTTTCACAGGTAGTACTCAGAGACACACAGAAGAATAATTTCAAGATTGCATTTCTTTTAGTTCCTTAAAGTACCCTAGGATTAACACATTATTTGTATATGTAAACATAGTATTGTGCCTGTAAACAGACTACTGCAGCTCCATTCCAAATATATGTATTAAATGACATAGGAATCCATGAGGGCTCGTTGTCATTCTCATGACACAGTTTTACTACACCAAGCTCCTGCCCTCTAAAGCAATTCCACCTCAAGGAAAGACCGCATCCTAATTGTCGTGACCTTGACATTTCTCCCTCAGGTCCCACCCCTGCAAGACAATCTCGTAGTTTGGAAAGTGGTGCAGGACTTGGAAGATCCCAATTCAGATGCACTCAGTATCCCACTCTTACTGTAGGAAAAACAGTTCTTCATTTATTATTTACATTTGTGAAACAAAAGAGATGAGTCCTCACTGGAATCTGACAACTCTTCTTCCTACGCAACTCTGAAAAATCGAAAGACCACATCTAGAAAATTTTCAGAAGAAACCAAACAAGCAAGCAAAACAAAACTATCCTAGAAGAATATTATGCTTTAAAAGCCTTATTCCTCAAGGCTCTATTTTAGGGAAATGCCGTTGTTTGATTTTAAGGATTTCATTTGGCAATTCTGTGCCAAGTCTGGATGTAACCTACTTACTCTGGCAAATAGGAGGAGCACCACTCCAGGCGACAAGCATTCCAAAAATCTCACATCGCCTCTGAGACTGTCCAACTAGTTCGTGCCTGGAAGGGCACAGAAGGAAATATCAGTTGACACCAAGACATTTATAGTTTGGATTGTGCACTCCCGCTATCACAGTACCCCCAGAGGTTTCTTTCTGCAGCCTCCTGATTCTGGCTGGTCACCCAGGTGTTTCTGCTGGTTCAGCCCATGGGAATAAAGGATACAGAGTTCCCGAGAAGAACAAAAATGATCACAAATTACTCCAGCTTAGATTGGCCAAGTGCTAAACCAGGACTCAAAGCTGAGGGATTTGAGAACCGCTGCAGCCTCCTCTCTACAGGCGCTTACTCGCATTCATTCTGCTCCAGCCGGGTGGCCATCTGAGAAGTTAGACTGAAACTGAGGTTTACAAAGTAATTTATCAAGCACAGACTGGGAAAAACAAGAGGCATTTCTCCTTCCCTGAGCAGGTAGCTAAGACAGAACTGGAACCAAACCACAAATTCTGGCTTGCTATGGAAAAACAACATGCACAGAGGAGTGTGTTGGGACCCTTCACTGTAAGCTGTTTGAGCTCAGGAAATGGAGTCAGCTAAGGCAGCCTGGGACTCACCCTTCTTCGCACGTGTGGTTCACTGCTGACCCAAAGAGGAGATCTGTCAGAACAACAACTCTGCCATTCTTTGGTGCTTCTGGATATTTACATTGTTTCCCTGGGAAAGAACAAGGCTACTTTTAAACTCCTCTCTTTCAATTTTGTAATGTATTATGAGAAAATATTATCTTAAGAATCTGTCCACATTCTGTCACCAAAAAAAGAAGGGAGCTTTAAAAGGTCAATAATTGTCAAAACTATGTGACTAGTAAAGCCATGTATGAATCATTTTTTAAAGAAGTGCTTTGAGAAACCCACAAGTGCAGTTTAGATAGTTTTCAAAAAACAACACCAAACTGATGGAGCTATTCACTTTTACAAAACTCTAGTGCTTCAGACCACGTTTGATTTTTGAGGCATGTTACTGTTGGGGGTACTCCAGGGTGTCTCATGTATCCAGGCTGGCAGGTGTATTTCACAGTGTCCCCAACAGAAAACTCTCTCTGATTTTTATATTCCTCAGTTAGCTCAGCAAAGTGTAAGCCTGGAGGGGCAGCACAGCCACCTATAGAGAAAGAAAACACACAGAGGAAAATTGTGACATATTTGTCAACTAAAAACAATTGTTTTAAAATGTATATTGAGTACACATAAATAAAAATCTTAAGGGCAAAAGAGACAACAAAAGGTAAAGAGTGTAGGATTCAACATTTTGTGAAGAGTCGGGGAGATGGCAAGTCTTATGAGCTCTCCAAGACAGAAATTCCCAAACTATCTATAACTCTCTGGAAAAAAAAAGTGTACCTTCGCACTGAGGAAGAGGGACGCTCCAGTTTCCAGAATCTGTACAATAAATTGATGCCTCTCCCATTATGTAGTAGCCAGGGTCACAGCTGTAATTTACGGTCATCCCAGGAGTGAAAACTCTCAAGTCCTGGCTATTGTGTTTTCCTTTGTCAATATTTGGAGGCAAAGGACATTGTAGCACTAAAGAGAGAGGACAAATCCAGACTGAAGAGGAGCATGGAGAGCATAACATGCAGAAAGGATAATGCACAATGCCAGGACACAGAGCATCCTGCGTGTGCTTGAGGCAAGCTTGGACCCTGTGGGTACCACGTGGACTTGCTGTTACCTGTCCTGTTACCCCCCGCCCCCAACACCCACCCACCCACAAATTCTGTGGGTTTAGCAGATTTGCCTGCTTCAGCATCAGGTGTGCATGGGATAGACGCTCAGACAGCCAGGGGTGCGCGGGGGAAAGGCAGCAGCACGCTGAAACGCACCTGCACAGCGAGGGTAAGGGAGGCTCCAGTTCCCCACCGCCGTGCATGAAAGCGAAGCATTGCCGATGAGGGAGAAGCCCGGGTCACAGCTGTAGGTGACGGACATGCCACTCGTGAAGTTCTCCCCGAGCTCAGCGCTGGGCGTGGCGTTGGCGATGACCGGAGGTGGAGGACAAGGCAATGCTAAGAGAGGGGAGGAGGGAAGAACATTGCTTTAGGGTTTGCATCCGATGGAGGAGCACATGCAACACAACCAAACGCGGTTGCTTCTCAGACAACGTTAATGAGGCAGAGATCGCTCCCTCAGGCCCCCTCCTGCACAAGGATGACCCTCAGTCTCTTCTGTTTTCACCCCCAAGGTGCCCCTCTTCCCCCCCCTCC